AAACGAGTATACTGTGCGGCAATTCGCTCTGTTCTTATTTACGGCTGCGAAATGTGGTCATTAAGAGTAGGAAAAACCCGAAGGTACTATTGTTTGATCAAGGATATCTCCCCTTTCTACGAATTAATTCTTCCTTCCTTTACTATATCTTTATGTGCAATCCTTCTGTTATATATTATCACTTATGAATCCGCTGTTCATCTTGCTTTGCTAATGCGGCATAGCAACTTGGACCAATACATATATGTACCTAGTCCCACGTTGTAGCTGACTGACAAGAATTTCCTAGGAATGTTTCTCGTATCTGCTGGGATCACCAATGGTTGGAGTCTCTGGGTGAGAATCGATCACGATGACGTTGATGTTTACTCTAACTCCCCTTGAACCATGACATTAGAATTACGTCATACCTCCCTTTCTGTATCATATTCGTATACACTATCTTTTATATATTATCGCCACTGAATTAACTACCATAAAATTGGTGCTAATGAAGTGTGGAAATTTTGACATGCGCGTACATGGCTGTGTGATAGTGGCCAGCGTATAGTAAAAAAAACTAATAATTAGTTAACAGGGCGTTGATCTCGTCTCTTGTAAAAAGGTAGGGAAGGCACCAGGTATTAAATTATTCATACATGTGTGAATACTGGGTTTGCTCTCAGATGTACAATTGGGTGACATGGTATTAGTGCTTTCTGACAAGTGATGGAAGAATAGGTTCGCAGCAAAACACCATCTCTGTCAGTGTTTTCTAATCTAATCGTTAGTGTCATGAGCTTTTATTGGTCCCTGGGACTTCATTAGTTCGTCACTTCAGTATACATACGTACGAAGTCCTACATTCTCACTGACTGACTTCAGTATAAAGACATCTAAAATTGCGGTTGTAAAATGTGCCTGCGTACCCTGAAGTCATGTATAATTCGCTATAAAAGAGTTCACAACAATGATCCGAAGCACTAAGGGTATGTACAAAGTTATTTACAAACATGGAACTGTATGAAGCGACCTAAAATGACCGATGTGGTTTTGGTAATCTCAAGAGCATATACTGTTTCGTGAGCAGTTGGTTTCCGGCCTCGAGGTTTTACTGCGTACAGAAATAAACTGGGAACAAATGACAAGATGGTACTGGATATAGTCAAATAACTGAAATATAAAGTGTTCATACTTAACAAGCAAATTAGCAAACGGATGTTTACAACACATTGGTAGGGTTGAGATATTCAAAGAGGAAAGCATACTTGCCATGTACCAGGTATGTGGGCGGTTTGTTACTTAGCATATGCTAAGCACAAAGCGTCCATCATTCACATGTTAGTGACAGTAAAAATAGAAAGTGTTTAAATCATCTAGTCTAGTGAAGGAAATTACAGATGTCTGCAGTTAAACCTAAGATATCCAACAGTAAATCCTCAATATTTCTGATATCCTTCTCAAATGTTCTACAAAAGCAACACGACCATATTGATGATGAACAGCTAAAAAATACATCGGCAGGTTTCCGAAGTTATGGTTGCACATCTAAGAATATGGGCGTATGAAGTGGATTTTTTTAGTAGATAAGTCGGGATTTCTAAGCGTTTACTTATTTTCAAAATTAACTTTAGTTTTTGTGTCTCGAGGTTTCGGGCAATGTATTTCAAACACTGAATTCCCAAGACCATCTTTACAATGAGTCGTTAAGTTCATTAAGAAACTCTTTAAACTCATACGGGGTTAAATGGGCTAATGTTTATTGCTAACTCACACATTGAAGTGTCAAACAGCAGAGCACACAGGCACAGTTTCTCATCACTGCCGCTAAACTAACAGTATCTGAAATCAGAAAAAGGAGTATTTTAACTTCTAAATATTTCGCCGCGTTAAAAAACCTTCGAAGTAGGTCAGATATTGTGATCCTCAGACCTGACAAAGGTCAGGAGTAGTTATCAATAAATGTGAATATAAAGAAAAAATGTTATCTATACTGGGTTACGAGAGTAAATTATTGCCGGACGTTTCATCCAATATTAATGTTAGAAAATTGGAATTCAGAGTGAAGTCCAATCTATTAAAGCTTCTTAAGATGCACATCATAAACACTGAGGAGTTTAATGTACTAAAACCATCGGGCTCAGTTCTCCCGAATTTATATGGATTACCTAAAATTCATAAACCTAATACTCCATTACGACCAATTTTATCTATGCGCGGTTCACCCACACATGAGCTAGCTAAATGGCTAGTAAAATTGTTAAACCCAATTCGTATTAAAATATGTAAGTTCTCCTTAAAACACATTTGAACTAATAGATCTTCTTGGGGACATTAATATTAAAGATAAGTCTTTGTATTCTTTTGATGCAAACACTCTCTTCACGAATGTTCCGTTAACAAAGACGGTGGATTTCCTTTGTGACTATATTTCTAAAAACTTTTTCCTATTCCGTTACCATTGTTGAAAGAATTACTTTTATTATGTACTGCTAATGTTCAATTCACGTTTGATGGTGAATATCTTCGGCTAGTTGAATGTGTAGCTATGGGTAGCTCTTTTAGCTGATGTACTCATGTCATATGTAAAAAACAGGACGAGTGAGCTTATTAGTGAGGTAACTTTATATAGAAGATACATGGACGATATTCTAATTATATGTGAAAGATTTTGACGTTTACGGATTATTGGATAAACTCAATAGTGTTCAAGATGATATCGTGATGACACATGAAGAAGAAAGTAATCGCATATTGGCTTTTTTAGACATACTTTTAAGTCGAAGGGATGATGGCACTATTAGACGGTCAGTGTATAGGAAACCTACCTGGACGGGACAATACTTAAATTTCCATAGTTTTTGTCCATTGTAATACAAGCGAGGCTTGGTTGAGTGTTTCTTTAAGAGGATTTGTACATCTGACACGGTGGAAAAAGATGAGAAGTTACTGACTGGCACATTAATAGCAAATGGTTATCCATTAAAGTTTATTAATAGGTGCAAAAGTCAGTTATTGACAAGACCTCTTGTTTATTCGTTCCCAAAGAAAAAAGTTTATATCAATCTACCATATATAGAGGCGAATCTAACAGCATAGTTTTAAGACAGAGATTGAAAGCAGCGATCGAGAATTCCTATTATGCTTTTCAATTGATTGTGATCGAAAAGTCCAAGGCCATGATTCCTAGTAGACCCAGACAATGCACCAATGATTACGTCACATCCCATTGTATTTACCAATTTACATGTTTGTGTGGACACATACATAGGGAGGAGTAATCGAACATATCAATCAAGGGTCAATGAACATGTGCCTAAATGGCTTCAAAATCAATGTGTGTCGAACGATCCGATCAACGTGGGTGGTACAAAACCAGGGTCATCGATAGCGAAACATATAATTGAAACGGGGCACAAAATTGATATTAATACAGTTTTTAGAACGTTGTATAGAAATTGTCAAGGACAAATTCTTAAGTTTATTGAAGCCTTGGCTGTTCGTAAATTTAAGCCGCCCTTATGTGTACAAAAACAATTTGTCGTAACCTTGAATTTACCTTGGTAATCCTTGAGTCATTCTATGGCCTAGGATAATGCGACAATTTCTTATTCTTTCTCTCCCCTTTGTTATTTTTTGTTTGTACTTTAACTTTCATGTAATTGACCTTTATTAATTTTCAGATAAAATGCCCTGACAAGTATATGTGTGACCAGATTGTTCGAAATGTATAGCGCAAATACATCATATTTTTCAGATCAACTCCGTTTTTTCATTGTTCTATCGAAATTTATAAAAGGGACTAATTGCTTTAAATTCTCTTATTTTTAACTTCAATATTGAAGAATAGCTTTTTTGCGGCTGTAGTGGTAAATAATTCCCCAAAATCAAATAGCTCTGTAAGTTTTCGACATTGGGTGCTGACCACAGTTTTTGTGGACTCATCTAGCTGAAGGCGCTCGGTCAAGCATCCGCACCAGATCACATGTGGGAACGCCGTGCTCAACATCTGCCGCAATCGCTAGCCAGATTAGTGCAAACGATCCTCGATATATTGATAGCGTATCAAATATATCTTCGATCTCCTCACTTCTGTCTTTTGATTTTATTTGGTGGGTGCGCTTCGTATTGGGTGTTACTGGTTAAAGCGTTGTCAAACTCCGAATGCCTGTGGCATCTTCATTGGTGCGCCAGGCGTGATCTGGTACACCATATTGTAAACTGTGAGTCTGTTCCTTTTTGTGATATTATATATCATTGTCTTATTTTAATCTTTCTTTAAACATTGTGATATTTTTTTCCGTGTTTTTGGGTTTATATATATATTTCCCTCTCGTTCACTTTTCGTACTTGATATATTACTATGACTGAACAGACCCCTAAAGTATTTAAGTTAAAGATTGTGTCCCCACCCTCTTTCCAACTTATGCCTTTCTGGCCAGACAACATCGAAGCCTGATTTTGCTACGCAGAAGCCGACTTCTACGAGCACGGTGTGAACGACACACGTGCACAATTCCTCGCAGTAGTCAAGGCACTACCGCGCGAATTTAACAGGTACGTAACACCTAGTATGTTTACTAGTGGTGTTTCTGATCCATACCAAACCCTGAAACATGCCATCCTTAAACGCGGAGATCTAACCGATCGACAAAGGTTAGACCAACTCCTCAACAACATCGACCTGCAACACGGTTCTGCCACAGACATGTTGCAGAGAATGCGAGAAGTCATTTGCCAAAAAACCTTCGATGACGGCCTATTCAAACAACTTTTCTTATCCAAACTTCCTCAACAGGTGCAAGCTGTTTTGGTCTCGTTCCAAAACAACGCCGTAGACGAGCGAGCTGCATCTGCCGACCGCATTCTCGAAATCACTAGGTCTTCTAACGCCGAGGTTTTTTCAGTCAAAGAAAAGCCTCAAACGAACCAGAATGACATAACACAGTTATGTCATACACTTACTCGTTATCTCAAACTTCGTAACGACCGTAAACGATCACTTACCCCGCGGAGAAGCACATCACGTAGGCGATCTGTATCTAGAACTCGAGAGACGGATAATCCTGATTGGTGCTGGTACCATAACCAGTACGGAAAGTCCGCCAGAAATTGCAGAAAGCCCTGCAATTTTCCCAACGCGAAATCCGTCGACGCGAAGAACGTTTCGGGAAACTCCCAAGCTGCACGCGTTAACGGCGACCGTAGCCGGCGAACATAGCCGTCTTTTATATGTCACTGATGTGATAACGAGAGTTCGCTACCTAGTAGATACTGGCGCAGAGGTTAGCGTTCTCCCAGCGAATTCCGACGACCGGCTACACGAGCCCGTTTTTAATCTACAGGCGGCAAACGGAAAGCCTATCGCTACGTATGGCAAAAGGTATGTTTATCTTGACGTGGGTTTACGCAAACCCATTCACTGGATTTTTGTTGTTGCAGATGTTTCTATGCCAATCATTGGTATGGACCTTCTACAACAACACAACTTAATTATCGATACGCACAAACGGAGGTTAGTAGACGGAAACACTAATTTATGTGTTTGCCTGACTTCTTTTTCTGGTTGCAGGTTATCTCCAGTCACTATTAAGCACACTATAGACCACTTCTACCAACCACTACTCGATAAATATTCTGGCATTTACCAATCGCAACCGAAATTGCCGTGTGTAACCAGCAATGTTACACATCACATCACGACTACAGGACCACCTGTCTTCTCGAAAGCACGCCGACTGGCCCCCGAAAACTTAAGGTTGGAGAAAAACGAATTCGACCATATGATAAAATTAGGAATCATACGACCGTTAAATAGCCCATGGGCATCTCCGTTGTACATGGCCCCTAAAAAGGACAGCAACGATTGGCGTCCAACTGGTGACTATCGGAGATTGAATGCAAACACCACTCCCGATCGTTACCCGTTGCCCCACATTCACGATTTGACAGCTACCTTGAAAGGTGCAACTGTCTTTTCAAAAATCGACTTGGTTAAAGCTTATAACCAAATTCCTATGGCCCCTGAAGACATTCCAAAAACCGCTATTATAACGCCCTTCGGACTCTACGAATTTTCGCGAATGCCTTTTTGTCTGAGAAACGCGGTACAGACTTTCCAAAGGTTCATAGATGACGTTTTTCGAGGTCTCAACTTCGTACATGCATACGTTGATGACTGTCTAATAGCAAGTCCGGACAGAGAATCACATCTCCAGCATCTGGACCTTGTTTTCGACCGACTACAAAAACATGGCATTACCGTAAACATTCAGAAATGCCAAATCGGAACCGAATCCTTAGACTTCTTAGGACACACTATAGATGCGCATGGCATTCGACCCCTTAGAACAAAAGTGGCGGCCATTCTGGATTACCCAGAACCGACCACCATCAAGCAATTGCGCACGTTTAACGGTCTGGTAAATTTTTATAGACGATTCATACCGAAATGCGCGTTACTTATGAAACCCCTTACCGACCAACTTCGTGGAAATGCGAAATCCATCAATCTAGATGACACTACCCGTAAAGCATTCTCCACGGTTAAGGAACATATCGCCCAAGCAGCAATGCTTGCTCATCAGGACCCTAAAGCGTCAATTAGTATCGCAGTAGACGCATCCGGCTCAGCAATCGGAGCAGTCTTACAACAATGGGTTAACCACTCCTGGCAACCTTTGGCATTTTGCTCTAGACGGTTGCTAGACACTGAATCGAGGTACAGCACATTCGGTAGGGAACTCCTAGCTATGTATTATGCTGTCCGGCATTTTCAACACTATATCGAAGGCCGTGAATTTACCATTTTTACCGATCATAAACCACTTACCTTCACCTTAAGCTCATCTTCGGACAAGTACTCACCACGTGAGTCTCGACAACTGGACTACATTTCGCAGTTTACTTCAGACATTCGACACATTTCTGGAGCAAACAATGTAGTTGCAGACGCCTTGTCTCGTATAAATTCCTTGAATAGTTCCGAAGGAATCGACCTTTTAAAACTCGCCCAACTTCAAAAAGAAGACAGTGATCTTCAGCACGAGTTGGCCTCAACAACACTTAAACTGCGCATTAAACAGATGGGAACAGGTAAGGAAACCTTACTGTGTGACACATCTACAGGTAGGGATCGCTCAATCGTGCCGAAACAATATCGACGCAACGTCTTCGATACGTTGCACAAACTTTCTCATCCAGTTGTTCGTGCAACCATCAAGCTTATAGCAGAACGGTTTTGCTGGCTTGGTATGAATAAAGATGTGAGGGAGTGGGCACGCTTCTGTGTAAGCTGCCAGAAATCTAAGGTTATTAGGCATAACAAATGTCCCTTAGGCTCATTTAAAACTCCAGATGCTCGCTTCGACCATGTTCATTTTATCTTTTAACCTGCTTATACCGCTTTACTCGATGGCCAGAAGCAGTACCCATCAAAGACATCACTGCTGAAACAGTGGCCCGCGCTTTCGTCGAACTATGGGTAGCAAACTTCGGCTGCCCAACAACAATCACTACAGATCGTGGACGTCAGTTTGAATCTGAACTGTTCCGTTGTCTGACCGCAATATTAGGAATCACTCGCTTCCGAACGACGGCCTACCATCCACAAGCAAACGGGTTAGTAGAACGTTTTCACCGACAACTAAAAGCGCCACTATCAGCCTCAAACATTTCTCAGTGGACTGACGCTCTTCCACTCGTCTTACTAGACATACGCAATGCAGTGAAATCTGACATTGGATACACTGCATCTCAACTCGTTTATGGCACGACCCTTCGACTTCCAGGAGAGTTCGTGGATCCTTCATCCTCTTCGATGGACATGGAGCTAACCTCCTACGCGAACAGGCTTACAAACGCAATGCGTTCAGTTAAACCTGTTTCCACTCGACCACAATCAACTGATGTTTTCGTTCAACCTGATTTACTACATAGTACACACGTTTTCGTACGTCGAGACTTGCATCGACGACCTCTTGAATCAACATATGAAGGACCTTTCAAAGTTCTTCAACGCGAATCTAAGTACTATATAATCGATAAGAACGGAACCAACCAAAGCATCAGCATCGATCGCCTCAAAGCAGCGTATTTAGAAGGAAATCCTTTTCACGTCGATTTTCCTTCAATACGATCGCACGACACAACTCCTGCACTTATAATACCTCAATCGACAGCAGACACACACGTTGATACTTTGACAGTATCCGAAAATAAACTCAAAACAACGCGTTCTAGAAGAGTAAGATTTCCAGAACACTTGAACGATTACTGCACGTAAGACACAAGTTAACATTTTATATCCTCTCGATTTTCCCTGGTACTATATATAATTTTTTAAAAAAAACCCGAATTTAATATGCTTATACATTTTTATTATTTTTTTATTTCAAAAAAGAAAACAAAAAAATAACAATATTATAAAAATCCTTTTTTACGCTATTACGTGAGCATGAGTTTGTTTTCCTTTTTCTTCGCCCGTTTTGTGTTTGCACGCGCGTACGAGTGCATTCCGACATGCACTTACATATTTTTCTTTTCCAGGACGACTGGAAAAGACGATGAAAAGAACGATGAACTTGCGAGAAACGAAAATCTGCATTGTACCTTTTTTTACTGTATTGTCCATCATGGTCCATTATAGTATGGAAAGACGACCAGACGGTGCTAAACCTAGCAAGCTATCAGAAGTGTTTACCAACGAAAAACTTGTTGCGTTTAAACCTCTGGCTGGCCACTTCTTAGGGTCATCACTACCACACTAGGGGGGGAGTGATCTGTAGCGGTAAATAATTCCCCAAAATCAAATAGCTCTGTAAGTTTTCGACATTGGATACTGACCACAGTTTTTGTGGACTCATCTAGCTGAAGGCGCTCGGTCAATCATCCGCATCAGATCACATGTGGGAACGCCGTGCTCAACATCTGCCGCAATCGCTAGCCAGATTAGTGCAAACGATCCTCGATATATTGATAGCGTATCAAATATATCTTCGATCTCCTCACTTCTGTCCTTTGATTTTAATTGGTGGGTGCGCTTCGTATTGGGTGTTACTGGTTAAAGCGTTGTCAAACACCGAATACCTGTGGCATCTTCACGGTAATTGCTTTGGAATGAAAACGAAAACAATTTAGTAAATTTTTCTCGATAAAGCGAACGTAACTGTCAGTAACGGTTGAGATATTAAGAAAGCAACTAGAAATTTTGTTCAAACTGTACTATAGTTGGCAAAAAATACCAGTGAATTTGTAAACACAAACGAACGATTAGTAAGATAAAATTTTATCTCACTTGACCTAAGAAATCCATGCTGGAGGTCGAGATGAGATTATTAGTAAGTAGATGTTGGACTACAGCCGCCCTAACTACTTTTCATCACTCTAGATACCACTGAAGTTAAGTTTATGGGAGTCAATGGCCTCCATATCTGCCTTCCATGTGTTAGGACGGGTCGGCGCAACTGTTTGACAGGCAATGTCAGCCATGAATTTGAATAAGATGACTGAGTGGTCACTTCTCCCTAGTGGTAGGAGGAAAGTCATTTGACCAACGTCATCACCGTGTGTGAAGACTAAATCTAAAAGAGAGAAGTTTCTTAAGTCATATCATGATCTACTTTGTCAGAAGTACGAGAAGTAAGAACATGTTGATAAGCTTTTAGACCGCTGACTACACCATTCATCGCTCTCTCAAATATAATTGGAGAATAACCTAAATCAAATGGAAGGTAGTCGTATTTAAATAGACCAAAAGGAGTGTTTATTGCTGTCATAATGAGCGAGAACTAATCTAATGAACTTCACACATGACAAAAGATCGTGGAACTTGTTATTACCATTGTTCACTGCTTTGCAATTCATCAATGAAATGCTTTTAAGTTTTTGACGAGAGAGAGGATTATCGTTAATTTGTAGTGACCTACTTTTGTCAACAGAACGCGATTGGTTTGATGAAAACAATTATTATTATAACCAATTGTACCAGTGATTGTTTTATTGTGCTCGTTCGTTTAACTGTGCTAATAACAGCCATTTTGGTCTTCCATTGTATTCCATTGCTTCTACGCGGTTTTCGACTACGCACGTACCCTTTCTTGCCGATCGCATTTGTACTCCTTTGGCACGATCTCGGTATTCTTTCGATACCACGAGATTGCCAGCAAACATATTGCAACTACTACTATCATCTGCCTTCTGATTTTTGGCCTACAGGAATCTTATTGGTCTATTGGCACGTAGTCTTGTAGCGGTGTTCATAGTCAAGCTCAACTCGACACCACGCTACATTTCGTGAGCCAAATTTTGGAACACGCCTCAACTTCGGTCGAATCTTCTTCAACTGGTGAACCTACATCTACGACAACTTGGCAATCGCAACCAAACCTCCCAAAGAAGTCAATTTTGGTGAGTGTATCGCTTATCTATCCACGTCTGTCATATATTTTCATACTAATTTTTAATATACAATATATTTTACATGACGGATAACGATAAGAATAGTATTAACGTAATAGACTCTGACGTAAAGGTTATACACTTTCGACCTGTATCTTTTATTCCTCACGACCCCGAAGTTTGGTTCGCTGCAATAGAGTCTCAATTCGAGACCCGTCATATTACAAGCCAACGGCAGAAGTACGCCTACGCTCTCGAATGTTTACCGTGAGACCATTTAGTAGCTGTCCGTGAGGTTGTCCTCAATTCCAATGTGCACAATGTTTACGATCGTCTCAAGGAGGCGATCTTCAGATATTCCCTCCCATCGAGGGAAGAACGATTGAGGACGTTATTAGCACGTCACCCTCTTGGTGATGCTAAACCGAGCGACCACCTCACGCGCCCGCAATCTCTTGCAGGACCCACGACAACCGATTCTGAAATCGCTAAAGAACTGTGGCTCGAATCTCTACCAGCATTTATCCAACCTACAGTTACGGCCCTGCTCGAGGACTCACCACTGAAACAGGTAGCCCTCACAGCAAACAAAATTCTAGCTAGGACTGGCAACCGAGACAGCTACGTAGTTGCCTCAACGTCGCGTCCGAAAGTCGACATCGACGGCAGCCACTCCTCAGCTCAAGGTGACAGGGGAGGGTGTATTCACATACGTCTTAGTTCTCGAGACCGTTGTAACGTACCCCAACCCTAAGTCCCTCGAGCCCACTCACGCTTTCGAAAAGCCGTCAACACTCGCCCAACGAGGCCGCCAAAAGGCGGCTTCGGAAGCGAGTGAGGGTCGGTGCTGGTTTCATCGATCATTCGGATCTGGTGCCCGCCGTTGTCGAGCCCCGTGATCATACAAGGCGGGAAGCTCCAGAGCCGGCGAGTAAAAGCGGCCGTACTTGCCGGCCCTGCCTCCCAGATTGGCCGTTTATTTTACGTGCACGATTATCGCACAAACGCTAAGTACCTAGTGGATACAGGTACCCAAGTTTCTGTCGTACCACGAGGTAGCATCAAGTCACAAGCTACAATGCTTCGACTACGCGCTGTAAATGGCTCAGACATTCCTACCTACGGTACACGACAACTCGCGGTCAACCTGGGCAACCGACGACGGTATCTGTGGACGTTCATGATTGATGTTCCCACAGCCATACTAGGTATTGATTTCCTACAGCACTATGAATTGCTAGTCAATTCATGTAGGCTGCAGCTAATCGATACTTCGTCGAACAGTAAATTCATGGGCTTTAAAGCTCACACAAACGCGTACCGAATCCTCGGCACTTTTTATTCGCGTGGCGATAAATTCCACGCTTTATTCGAGAAATTCCTCAGAATAACTAAACCACTCGATGAGATTTCATCGGTGACCAATCGTGTGGTACACCACATAGTCACCCGCGGACCACCAGTCACAACAATACCACGCTGACTAGCACCGGACTAATTAGCTTTTGCTAAACGTAAGTTTGACAATTTACTATCTGCTGGTATTATTCGTCCTTCTCACAGTCCCTGGGTTTCTCCTCTTCATATGGTGCGCAAAAAGGATGGGGTTAGTTGGAGACCATGCGGCGACTACCGAGCATTAAACGTAGTTACGCCCTTTGATAGCTACCTCATCCCCCACATACACGACATCACGGCATCTCTCAAGAGCACGACTATCTTTTCTAAAATCGATCTGGTACGAGCATATCACCAGATCTCAGTCGCTCTTGAAGACATCGAAAAACTGCTATCACGACTCCTTTCAGTCTGTTTGAATTGCTACGAATGCCATTTGGATTACGGAATGCTGCTCAAACTTTCCAAAGGTTTATCGATAGCATAGTACGAGACTTGGATTTTGTTCACGTCTATATTGATGACCTGCTGATCGCATCATCAAACGTAGATGAACATTATCAACACCTTACGCTATTATTCCAACGTCTTTCGGATAATGGAATAGTAGTCAACCCAGAGAAATGTGAATTGGGTAAATCAGAAATAATATTTCTGGGCCACATCATCAGACAAGAGGGTATTCTGCCTTGCGAGGACAAAGTTCGAGCAGTCAAGGAGCACAACGTGCCGTCCTCAATCAAGAAACTGGAGGCTTTTCCCGGTTTGGTTAACTTCTACCGACGTTTTATCCCTCACGCGGCAGAACGGTTACGACCATTAACCGATTTACTACGCGGTAATCCATGCAAATTAGAATTGAAAGATACAGCACTTACTGCATTTTCAGAGATCAAAATGGCTCTCGCTGAAGTTACACTTCTCGCTCATCCTGACCCATCAGCCACGCTTAGTATAGCGATTGATGCATCAGAATATCTCCGGTAGTTGGCAACCCCTTGAATTTTTCTCACGACGCCTTACTCCCACGGAGACGAGATATAGCGCTTTTGGTCGCGAGCTGCTTGCAGCCTACTGCGCCATCAAACATTTCCGGCACGCATTAGAAGGACGCCAATTCATTTTATTCACCGACCATAAGCCCTTAACGTATGCCCTGCATACCAAGTCTGACCGCTACTCACCACTAGAGTGCAGACATTCGGACTATATCTCCCAGTTCACGACAGACCTTCGTCACATTAGAGGCGAGTCGAACTATGTTGCCTATGCTCTTTCACGTATCCAGACGAATGCAGTTACTTCACCGGTGCTCAATCTTCCTGCCATGGCGGCCGCGCAAGCAAACGATCCTATCTGTACAGAAGCACCACAATCTTCGTCCCTTCGGTGCTAGGAAGTACCCCTAGCTACTAGCTCAGGTACTATCCTATGTGATACTTCTACTGGTCTTCCTCGACCCATCGTACCCTCTGCCTATCGCCGTCTCGTCTTCGATGCCCTTCATGGATTGTCTCATCCAGGTATCGCAGTCACATGTCTCATCGCTGCACGATACGTCTGGCCGTCCATGAATAAAGATATTCTTATGTGTGTCA